ATGCAATGTTACAATGACTTTTACAGGTGCCAAGAGAAATAGGGTTTCCAGTACACCAGACACTATTCAAATACAAAGGAAGAATTGGCTTAAGCCCAAAATTTTGTGCCTAACAATAAAATATGCTTATCATCTCAGTGGACCTCTTAGGCACTGCCTAAGGACATGGTTTGGTGGTGGCCTTGCCAGTGCTGGGTTAACAGAGGGACTTGATGATCTTAAAGGTCTTTTCCTGAAAGAATGATTCCATGATTCAATGAAATCTACCAGCCAACTTTTATCAAGGCCTTGTTCTTGGGAAAGCATTGTCAAACTCCCAGTGCTGTAAACATTAAAGTCTGCCAGCCCTAAGACCTATGTTCAGATGAAACCAACATTCATTATCTCTGCTTCATTACTTTGCTCATTTGCAAGAAATGGAGGCACTTAAAATGTTCAAAGATACTTAGTTTTGAAACATCAAAATTTTAAAATTCAATTTAAGTTAAGAAATCTTCAGTTAGTAAGAGAGGTCACTCAGGATTTTCTAGCCTTTGAGCTCTTGGTAAGAGCTAAAAAGGCAAAGTCATCTCGCTTTAAGAAAAGAAGGTTCCTCCAAATAACAAGGGAAAACTATGATCTAAAATCATCTCACAAGCACCAGGGATGTGACCACATGGCCTTGAACTGAAAAGAAACTGATTAAAAATTGACAAAGTTATTCTTGTGTATTTCCACTGGAGGAGCCCAGCAGCCTTTGGTTATTGTTAAGGTTGATCACAAAGTGAAGCATCTGTATGTTAATTCAGCAGAGACACCAAAAGGTTAAATTGACTTTCTCAGGATGTTAGTGTCAGGGTGTCAATTACTGTCATAATTAAATACTTGTAAAGAGATCAAAATTTTATATTTTACAAGCACTGGAAGAAGTGACTGCTTGCAAGACAATCAGCAGATGAAATGTGTATGCTATCCAGTCTGCACTGAAAGCAGTAGCAAAAATCTCTTTTAAATGTGGCAAAGACTTTACCCTGTCCACTATGTTGAGGAATTCTCGGTAGGCGCAGCCTAAAGATGGTATTTCAACAAAAGAAATAACTGTAACAAATTAGATAGCCTCCAGGTGTACATTTTCTTGTACCTGTGGAAAGTACTGCTCCACATAAGTTATGTTTATTGCTAGTTCTGATATTTGCAAGCTTGGTTTTCATAAGGGGTCGCTAAAACTCTGAATCAAGCCCTGTGTCTGCAAGGCACAGCTCTTGTTAAGAAGGCACATCTCCTGTATGTGCACTCGACCAGTTCCAAGTTTTCGTGCTGTTCACTTTACTCTTGAACACCTGAGGTAGTGATGGTGTATGAGCGCTCAGCAGTGGCTGTCTGCATACTGCTTTAGGTCTGTATTGGGTCTAAAACATGGTTTTAATACATTTACTAATTGGCTCTGGAGATAGGAGTCTGTAGTTACAGTAGTATCTGCAAGCTATGTGAGCCATACAGTTTTAATTTTGCAAAATATTTCCTTACAAGTGCAGGCAAATGCTGTGTCTTGGACTCAGCCCCAGCTTGCAAACAGGAGACTTAAAATGAAATTATGTAATACATTGTGTTTTAAGGAGGTCTGAGGTAGCAAAAGGAGAATCACAAAGTGGTATAATTTCTGAAAAAGGAAATTAGGGCACAGGTTAAAACAGGAAAGAAAAAGGCAGTAACGATGACAGCTGGGTCTGTGAGGTCTGGTATCATGTTAGGTCTTATCAAGGAAGAGTTCCTCAGCTGATCCTCTGAAATGTGTGCTGGGATTAGTCCCGCAGGCATTGCCATGGCCTCATCCAGCACATTCTTGTTGGGAATTGGGTGGTGCCCCTGTGGATGGTGCCCCAGCAGGAGCAGAGCACTGCCAAGCTGCTGTGACAGTCTCTGCAGCAGTGTTTTGGAATCCAGGCAGTTTGTTGCTCTGTGAGCCTGAGGAGGAGCAGAGAAGCAGTGCTGCTCCTGTCGAGCTGCCTCCCCTCAGAGAAGGAGCAGTGAGTAACGCACTTTCTCTGGGCCTTAGAGAAAGGATCTGTGAATTTCAGAAGGGGATACTGCTGTAGCACTGCAGACATGCAGGAAGAGAAGGATTACTGAGAGTAAGGAGGAGGGAGAGAGGAAACCTGCTGTGAGAAATGTGTAATTCTGTTAATGGTGAGACAAGTGATATTGCTAATGAGAGACCCCTACATCCTTGAGGAGAACATACTCTGCCGGGGTCAGCCAGGAGAGATCTCTTAGGGAGCCACTTGAATCAGCCCCAAATGCGTGGAGGATAGGCTTCAGACATCTGTGCTAAATGCAATGAGAATGTGTGGATACGTGAACAAAACAGCACATTTTAAGCATAACTCCTTTCTTGTGTCTGCTCTGTGCTCTCTTTATCCAAACCAGGACCAGAAGACCAGAAAGATGGGCAAGATAAAACCCTTTTTTCCACAGCAGATGGCAGGTATGGGTTTTGAACACCACTTTCAACCTGAGTTCCAGTCTTCCAAAGGGGATTCCTTGCACTGGAGTTTGCACCATTTCCAGTTTGGAGCCGGATTCTTCCATTATTTCAGGTGTTCAGCTGCCATAAGAGCATTCAGAATGCTATCTCAAATGCCAGCAAATACATGTTTGTTTACATGGAAGACAATTTTGTTTTGTAGTTTCACATGTATATATTCCCAAACCCCTATGTACCTTTGGTGTCTGGCAGCTGGCCTGCTGGAGTTCATTTTCTGTGTGCCTGGTGAAAACCGGAGGGGCTCCTTTAATGCACACACGTGGTTGTATTGGGCCTTCCCATTGTGGAGACCTTGCTGCTTTGCCTGTCTGCACACACACAACATAGGATTAGGGGTCTGGAGTGAGAAACCACTCAGGAAGGAGGAATTCCTTCTTTTTGCTCAATTTAGAGATGGCCAGATGCAAGCCTGAGAAATGTGAGGAGGAGGAAGAGGAGGTGCAGCTGCTCCCAGGGCAGTAGGACATGCTGCAGGGAGGGTCGCTGGTAAGTCCTTGAGTTGGCATGAGAGCAGCTGCTGTTCAGCCCAGATAGAGAGAAACACACCCAGAGAAGCCCTGCCAGAGGCATGTGGGTAGGTAGTGCTGGGATCTGGAGGTACCCATGGTCTAAATGCTTGCTATGGGAGAGTGTTCTGCAAGGACAAATGTGTTGGTTGTGCTGAGCCAATGCTTCCTACATCACATGAATTATTCAAAGAGGAGAAACTCTAACCAGTGCTGCAACAAAAGAGACTGCAGCAAAGCCAAACTCTCAGCTCCTAAGTATGCTCCCTCTCCCTTTCTTCTTCCCTCCTGGTTCATACTAGGAATAAAGGACTTCAGTGAAAGCTGCTTGCTTGCCTCACATAAATCGCCTTCCTCAAAGTGGAGCTGGGACAATCCAGAAATTTGGTGTTTGTATTATGGAGCGTTCTAAAACCCAGAGACTGGGGGCCCATGCAAGGAGCCAAGAGAGGAATGAAGTGGTGGATGGATAGTCCTCGCACAGCTTTGGCCCAGATTTACATCCCAGCCAAACCTGCTCACTCAGGTCAAACACCCAAAAGAGGAGTTTTTAAGTGAAAACTTAAAAGGAGGAGGTTTTTTTTTTTTGTGTTGGTTTTTTTGTTTTTTGTTTAACTTGTCCATAACCCAAATCCAATATCTGAGGCCTTGCCAAAAGCAGAAGTTCTTCATTTGACTCCAGCCAATGTGCAGGCATGATGAGTGGAGTGGCAGGCTGCATTTCCACAACAGTTTTCATTAAGTACTTTCTGCCACGCTAGGAGGAGTGTGTTGTCGTCATGAAGTCACACTGAGTTGGACTGGTTCACCTCTTTGAGCCACTTTGTGTTTCAAAAATGCAATGGATTCCGTTTATGACTGGTCTTCCATTGTTTATTCAAACAGCATCTCACCAATGCCCCTCCATGCCTGTCTGCCCAAGGGCCCAGCAACATCAATAATAAATGACCAGGCATGGGAAGGCAGCTTTGGGTTCAAACCAGCGAGTGTGTTGGGGCAGGGGGCCTCCCCTGGGCGGGGGGTACAGTGTGTGGGAGCTGTAGCTTGCAGCAATTCCCTCCCTGCAGAAAGGACTCGTAAATATTTAATAAACTTCTGGCCCTTGCCATAGACAAGGTCTTATTAGTGAACTGGAGTGGCTTGAGGACAGGTATTGTGTCTGTTACTATAGCACCACCTTGCACAGGATCTCGGTGTGAAAGAGGCAGGGGAGGGAGGGAGGGAGGGAAGAAGAGAGGGAGGGAGGAAGGGAGGGAGGGATGCACTGAGGATGAGCCCCAGCGAGCCAGGCTGAGGTTTGCCTGTGGAGCAGGCAGCACCTCCTGCCCAGGGGCGCTGGCCTGAGCCGCACCTGCAGCTCCCAGCTGCAGCCCAGAGCCGCTGCCCCGCACAGTACCGACCCAGAGCTCAATTCCCTCCCTGCAGAAAGGACTCGTAAATATTTAATAAACTTCTGGCCCTTGCCATAGACAAGGTCTTATTAGTGAACTGGAGTGGCTTGAGGACAGGTATTGTGTCTGTTACTATAGCACCACCTTGCACAGGATCTCGGTGTGAAAGAGGCAGGGGAGGGAGGGAGGGAGGGAAGAAGAGAGGGAGGGAGGAAGGGAGGGAGGGATGCACTGAGGATGAGCCCCAGCGAGCCAGGCTGAGGTTTGCCTGTGGAGCAGGCAGCACCTCCTGCCCAGGGGCGCTCCCAGCTGCAGCCCAGAGCCGCTGCCCCGCACAGTACCGACCCAGAGCTGCTCCCAGGGCCACGCCGAGCCCCTGAGTGCTTCTGGGGGGGCTTTGCTCCACAGCTTTTCCCTTCTGGCTTTGCAAGATCTGACTTTTTTTATTATTATTATTAATTTTTTACCCGCTCCTTTCTTGAGCAACTGGTTGTTGTTGCAGAGGTCACTGGCGGAACTGGTGGAGGCTCCCGGCTCTGGCATTGGGAAATATGACAGCAGAAGTGAATGCTCGTTAGCATAAGGGATTTACTGAAGAAGAAAGACAAAATGCCTTTCAAAGGGCTTGGTTCACTGAAAGAAAGATTTTTTAACCCAGGAAAGGAAGAGGTGAAGAACACCATTAGTGACTCGCTGGGGAATCTGAGAAGGTAAAACCCAACAGAAAATTCCCAGACAGATCAATTGATCCAATTTATTAAGAGAAATGCAGTTAGGAAAAAAATGTATAAACATAAAACAGACTATAGAGTTGCAAAATTAATATCAGAGTACAGAGAGTGAGACAGCTTGCTGTAAGACAGAAGATGTAAAAGGAGCAGTTACAACAGCATATGACTGTAGGTCATAGAATATTTATATTAAACAAAAAAAAGTGAAAATAAATTATGAAATAATGTTCTAATATTAAAAAGAGCTTGAAAAACTGTTTAATTAAAAAACCTTTAAATAATTAAATGTGACTAATTCTGTGGTTTAGCTTGCATGAGAAAAAACCAATAATTTAATGGGAATTAACAATCCAATGATGCCACTCTTGAAATGAGACTTAAATTACAGGTTTGGGGTTTTTTAAAACTTGTTCCAAATCAGTAAGAGAAAATGTATTGAATAGAGATCTGTATGTGTGAGTTTACTGACTCTTCAAATGAGAGAGAGGATAAGAAGCGGCTGTTTGCTATCAAAAGCAGAAAAAATATTTAAGATTTTAATCTTAACGTGATGGTTTTATGAACCAAGAAAAGGAGGATTCTTATTTTTAGAGAAATGAAAATCTGATGTAAGAAATTATCAGTTTCATAAAGGGAAAGATATTTCTCATTTAAAGGGAAGATTATTTGTGTTTGTAATGGCTACTGACAACACTTATTTGTATAATCAATAGATGAGAGCCAGAGGGGTTAGTGGCATTTCTTCCATGCTTGATTTTGTGTTTTAAATCTTTTTGTGGATCAGGACAACACTTTAACTGAAGGTGTTTCTAGTGACTGAATAGTATTTGCTTTCATACTCACCTCTTTGCCTTCTATTGGGAATGCTATTTTGACTCAAGAAATAGTTCTTGGTACATATAACCAAGCCTTTGATCACAAGAAAATGTGTAAGAATGTACACATATCATACTGCGATTATTCTATTTCTTTATCATGTGAGCAGAGTATCTGTGTTCTACACAGTTTCTCCTTAATTTTTTTAAATTTACAGTGTTACAGATGAAGTATGATGTTTTGCTTTTTTTTTTACTTTTAAGATACTCTACAGTAATTCCAGGAAATCTGTTTATCTTTTAGAACATTGATTCACATCATTTATTCAATGATAAATTCTCTTTGCTGGGGACTCTGCTGGTCAGTTTGAGCAAATGCCTGTGAGGTTTGTATCTAGTGAATACGTGATGTGGCAGTACACTGGGCTCACTTTAGATTATCCAGATTGCTCTCCTCTTATAGCCATGTATCAAAGCTGTCATGCTAGTTCCTACACAGTTGATAGTACAGGCAGCCAACTTCAGCAACACTACTCCTGAATCAAATTAACCCAAATATCACTTGAGGTGCAAGAAAGTTTGCTGAACTTAATTATTTTCTGTTTTAAACATAGGTATCTCAGAGCCTTCCTTAGATGTACCAATCAGCAGAGGAAATAATCCAAACTATAAAATCTTTTTATTATGTCTGCAATCAGATCTAAGTAAGAATTGCTGCAGCTTGAGAAGTCCTGTAGGAAATATGCAGTCATCTTTGAAAGTTTCCATAAATGAATGAAACATGCATGTTTTTAATATGAACTTCATTCTCTACAGCTTAGTCTACAAATGAGAGCATACACTTGTGTTTTTGTATGGTGGCACATATACCTATATACCAGCTGCAACCTTGACTTTGCTCTCCATCTAATACAATTGTCTTTAATGTGGTTAAAATCAGCAAAGAATTTGGTGTCTCTTCTAGCATTCATTATAATTTGATGAATTATTATAATGCACATCCTTGATTAGACCTCCAAGTGTGACTTCACTGACTGTGGTGTGTTGATGTCAAAACTGACACAGTGGGTAGAAAAACATGTTTTAGCTTTGGTAAATATGACTGGTCTATGCCTTCCTGCCACATCCTCTATCTTGCAAACAAGAAAGCAGACCCAGAAGCGGGTGCTTGGCAAGAGCAGCTGCTCCATAGCAATTATCCACAGTCCAGCTCAAGTGCTAAAGCACAAGCAGCATAAAGCAGCTTACTGCCTCCTCACAGGTGTGCTTATTTGGTGGGTGCTGCAAAATAAGAGTCTGCTCACAGGAGGTGACTTTAGAGTGTCTGGATCCTGGAAGGGAGGCAGGGGAGACTGAGCTGAGAGACCCAAGAGCCATCCTTTCTTTAGGCTGTTGGCAGCTGTTTAATTTGTGAGATCTTAGAAAGTGTTTTAGAAAATGTTGTAAATGCTTTGTATAATTTTTTAATGCAAAAGTGGTTTTTTTTTTTGATTAATTTTATGCAGTTGGGCAGTAAAAATATTAGAGAATTCAAGGCTTGGGTGAATGAATATCAGAGTTGGGGCTCTGTCACCATTATGTTTCTCAGAAAAGAAAGATTTCATGCATATCTTCTTGACAGACACAAACACTTTGATCCTTCTGTGAACTTACTGCAGTCAAGGAAAAAGTCAAAGACTGAAGTAAGATCTTAGGCTCTCCCTACTCTAAGGATTTCAGGAGTCCTGGACCAGCTAATGGCAACTGTGGTCTTCTTGATGAAGTGGGATGTGTTTAAGTGGGTTTACAGCCCAGTATTGTCACTTTTAATGTAAAAAGACATATGGGCCATGTCACATGGCTGCTGTATCAAGTGTAGCCCTGATGGGTGTAGTTCTGGCTGCTGTAGGTGTCCCTTGGTGAATTAGCCTAAATTGCTGAAAACTGCATCTTGAAGCTGGGTGATAGACACTTGCATTGGACAGGGCTCCTCTGACTGTGGATCATGCAGTTATTCCTCTTAGATTTTCCCTTTGTGCAAAAGCAGGGGCAGCTTGGTGCCTCCCAGACTGTGCAGTGCTGAGAGCACTGTGTGGGGTGTGCAGACCCAGTTGATGCACCAGTCGTGCCTTTGTAGCACTGTTAGTGCCAGGCCACAGTGCACTCGTGCAGCGCTGCACCGCAGCACTCTGGGGACAAACATCCCTGCTGAGGACAGACTGCCCTGCAGCCCAGGAGTGCAGCACCTGGCACATGCAGTCCCTCAGTGTCTGAGCCTGCCGTGTTGTGGGTTTCATGGAAATACTGTGCAGGAACCAGCAAAAGAGGTCCTACGCCCTGAGTAACTCAAGAGAGTTTGGATATTTGTGCAGGGATTTGGTACCAATGCATCAAATACAGGATTTTTTATGGAAAATTATCACCTGGACACATCCCTAAAGAATTAATAAGATCTTAGGAGATTGTATCTGCTTTTGGATTAGTGATATTTTTTGATAATTGCTGTATAGGTTCCTAAGTTACACAGGGATCATTGTAGTTACTGTATTTGTAGGTGTGAGCTTTGAACATTGTGTACGATTGTGCTCCAGCTGCCTGTGAAAGACTGCCACATCTGGTGAAATCCATTCTACAATGTGTTTTAACACAACAGTTATTAACATTTGCCTGTTACTGTAGAATCAATGAGTTTTTAATAAAACAAAACTAAATTCTAGTACACCTAGAAAGAACTAATTCCTCTGCTAATACCCCCTTAAATACAGAGAGCCGAATATATATGTGCTCTAGGGATTTTACTTATTACTGATAGGGATTTTTAAAATGTCTTTCATGCTTTCAAAATTCTGTATTTGCCAGAGTAGGCATTCAATAAAAAGGAGAAATGTTGCATAAAGTTGTTATGACATTTGGGCAGAGAATATGGATGCAGATTCAAATAACTTAGCTCTTACTTGCCAAGTGTTGTACATTTGCTGAAAAAAGGAAAAACAGATCTAAGAAATGAACATTTCCTGTGCAGGAAAATACACACCTGCATCTCCTGCATGAGGCTGATAATTAGAGGAGAGCATTGGCCCTGAAGCAGTTTTCTTCTAAGTCATTGGTCTACAACTAGTAAAAATTTTCACTGACACTGCAAAAATACGTGGATCAATTGGAAGATAAATTTCTCTTCATTTCATGGAGTTGCTATATTTCCATTATGTACCTGTTCAATAAAATAAAACCAGAAAAACAGTGAAGACACTGGCTGTGTGAATGTTTGCACTGCTCTAATACCAATGTGTTTGGACTGCTACTGAAAAATAATTTTCTTCAAGACAAACCTGGTATAGAGGCATTGAAATTAATCTCTGGGAATAGGAAATAAACTGTGTGGATTTGGGGTGATGGATCAGTCCTCAACTTTCTCCTTTTAGTTAGTGAAATACAATAGCAGAATAATTAATTTCTCTGCAGAGACAATATTGGTCCATAGTTCTAGTCCTAGGTCACCACTTTTAGCACTGAATTTGGGGCAGAAAGATGTTTTCATGCCTATCTGAATTGACAGCCAGACGAAAATGTCCAGATGTTTTGGCTTTGCATGAAATGTCTAATCTTTACCAGCTGCCCAAAATAATGAACCCCCTAAAGTCTAATGTCTTTCTTATAAATAGAGCCTGGTAATATTTGGAAAATTGTTAATTGATTTAATTCCATCAATATCTTATATTCTGTTAGAGGAAGACAATTTTTTTCTTTGGGCTTGTTAATAACACTTTGGAGATGACAACAGTTCCAAAAATAATTATTCAATTGTTTTTTCACTTCCTGAGATCTTTATTTTTGGTATCTCATTCTGTTTACACTTACCTCTATTAACACATAGAGCATGGAATATATGGTTTCTTCTTTTTCAAGTGCCTGACTGAATTAGTCTCTCTACTCCCATTTCACTAACAAATGCTGTTTCCCTGCAGGTGAATCATAAGATCTCAATCACCCCCAATAACACCACAGTAAGGTTACATTTTCTGTGTTACCTCGCTTGAATGGAAAGTCTTTGCTCCAGTGTGACAATGAGCTAAGGATCTTACTTTGCAGTGAGCACTAGTTTGAGAAAGGAATTAAATAAAATAATCCCAGGACTTCCATTCTGGCCCAAAACACTGTGATTCTAGTGTTTCTTGAAAATGTGAGCTGATGGACTGTAGCATGCTTATTTTCTTTTTCTAAGACTATGGCTGAAATAATGGGTTTATATCGTGATGTAAAAAGGAATAATATGGTAAATGATGCTCCAGTTAGCTCTAGGGCCTAAAAATGATGAGATTTTTAAGTGAAACTTTATATTGGAAAGATATATTTAAGTGCACAAGAAGCCATACTTACCATGTTTATTTGCAAACTGTCTAGTGCAGAGCACTATCTGTAAGATTATGGGTAGACTTCAAGCAACTGGGAAAAGCAGTGATTTAACCAACGATGTCCCAAAAAACCCAACCCAGTCAGATGTAGCCCATGCAGGCATGCTCTGTCAGCATTTGTTTATCTTGATTTTCATTCTGAAAACTGATGTTTCAAATACATATCAAATATATACATTAGATTTCAAGTACACTCAGCCAGATGTGTGGAAGAAAGAAATAAGTTATTCCTTATCAGAAAGGAGTGAATGAAATAATCTCATCATTTTACATGGCAAGCTGGGCTTCCTTTAGGTTAATTAACTATTCATATTTTCTCAGTACTCCATGGCAGGCACATAAAGAGCTGGATCCTGAGCTCAGTGCTTCAGGGTGATGCCAAAACTGAAAGGCTGCTGATCAAGACCTCTCTTAGTAAATGCTTAATCTTAAATTTATGGTTAGTTTTCAGTGAGTTAGTCACATATTCACAGCTAGCCATGTCCTTAAGTATTTCAGCATGTCAGAACAACCATAACCTGCATTTTAAAACAGACCTGGAAAGGTAATGTTAGAAAAGGAATTATTTAGCTCTGATCTGGTGGGTGTGTCTAGTTCTTTCTTACCTCACCTTTCCTACCACAGACTTTGCCTGGTCCTGCAGCATGATATTAATAGCCCTAATCAGACTGAGAGACCAAATTAAATTTTCATTGCACTATCATGTAATTCCAGATTGCATGGAAGTACCATTTTGTTTAATATGAATATCTCAGGTAGATTGCCTGCAGGAAAAGGAAAGGCTGGACATGCAAAGCCTGAGGAGCTGCACTCCTGTGTTGGTAACTGATGGGAAAAGAAAGTCTGGGCCTGTCACTTTTGTGTCTTTAATAGGGGATCTGATTCCAGAGAGGTTTCTCCTCTGCTGTACAGCCCTGATTTTTGTCTCACAGGAGAAAACAAATTCCAGGAAGTTTGGGGCTGAGTGAAACCATGCTTTGTGTTGTATTTGCCCTTTTTATTGAAACCTACTGGCAGCTCTGCTTAGTAGATCTAGTCAGAAATTATGGTTAATTTATTAATATGTAAATTTGCCTGAGAATCAATAGAATTTATCACAACAGACCTCCAGTTAGACCTCATAGTTATGCTCATGAGTACCCTGTGAACATTGTTGCAGCTGGCTGTCTGGCTAGATGGTTCAGACGTGCAACCTTCAGAAGTCGTTCAGGAAAAAGTGTGGTCACTGCTAACCTTTCACAGCCTGTCCAGCCTTAACTCACCTCACAACCGCCCGGGGACAAGCACCTCACAACAGGAGCTGGCAGGTGACCGGAGCATGGAGCTGTCCATCAATGTTTCAGCAAATTTTACTGAGACCACAGGGCGCCTTCATTTTTTCTTCCCTCGTCTGTTTAGGAAGATCGATGGCACCCACGTGGAGGAGGAGCCCCTGGAGCTGACGGCGGAGGGGCGGCCCGTGGCGGCGAGCAGCCGCAGGCCCGCGCTGTGCCAGTGCTACTGCTGCGGCCTGCCCAAGCGCTACATCATCGCCATCATGAGCGGCCTGGGCTTCTGCATCTCCTTCGGCATCAGGTGCAACCTGGGCGTGGCCATCGTGGAGATGGTCAACAACAACACCGTCTATGTCGATGGGAAGCCAGAGCTGCGGGTGAGAAGACATCTTCCTTTCACTGCTCTGAGCAGATCCCATTGCGAAATCACCCAAATGCCTCACAGCAAAGTCCTGTGTATGCACAGATTAAAAAAACAGGAGGAGGGAGACACGTCAGTGTTGATGCACATAGATATGCAGGCATTTAATTCCTATTTATGTGATGAAGTCATGTTAAAAACCTTCAAGATCTGAGGATTTGTAGTGTCATTGAGAGGATATAAGTACCTGAAATACTGAATTAGTCTGCATGTCTCACAGGTCACTGATCTGTCAGTTGTAGACAGATTTTGCTGTGGTGGCAGAAGCTTTTTCTCTTTATTCTCTCTCAGGGTAATGTGCTCTGATGCTGCTGCAGAAGGAATTATCAATTATTTTATGTAGGGCTGCAGCCACTATATTCATATAATAATTTTCAAGACCTTAAAGCAGTCACTGGCAATTAGGCATCAGGTTTTTGACAGCGTAGATTGTTGTCTGGAGCTATTAAGAGCTAGGTGCCAAGCTGTTTTCAAATTTGCAGTGGATGGCATGTGGTCCACACCAGATCCTACACAGCTTTATCAGTGCATACCAGCAGGTTCAATCCATATCATTGCGTTCCCCATCCTTCTTCAGTATTTGTGATGTCAAGTGTCCCTTTATGGATTTTATGAACTTAAATCCCTACATTTGCTCTACTTGTTGACTTATTTTTTATTATCTTTTGAATGTTTTTGGCCTAACAAATTCATAGGAATCTTGACTCTTGAATGAAATGCTGTGCAAATATTCATCAGCTTTTCTCCTACATCTTTAACTTTTGGTAAAGAAGAGTGCAGAAAATGTGTATCATAAATATGCAGTGTTAAAAGTATGCCTGTCTCCATGACTCATGATCATAGGACCCATGCTTAGACTTCCTACTGAATTTGTATTTATTCAGTCTAATCCCTGCTCCCCATGGTCCTGCTGGGACTTTCAGGTTCTGTACTTAAGCAAGAGAAAGTTTGTGCCTGCATAGGTTGGGAAGCTCAGAAGAGGTAATTTCAGAAAATGGGAATAAATTTCTTCCACAAATCTAAACTCATAGTGGTTGGGCATGAGCATCTCCTGAATCAGGAGGAACCTTCTTCCATATCTCATGGTGTTTCTGCTTTCAGAAATTAACTCTACCTAGAAACTCAGCTGGAAATTGCCAGTAGAAAGTTAGGTGTGTTTAAACAGAAGTGCTTCAGCCAGCACAGGAAAGTGGGACACATCAAAATGCGTATTGATGGGGAGGAAAACCCTTTAGCCTTCTGTAAACATGTCTGGCTAATTAATGCCATCTGGCTGTAGGTCAAACAATGAGCTGTTTTTCAGTTTGCTTCTTTGTGAGCAAAAAATCAATGTAGTGGGGAAAACTGTTTTTCTTTTAATGTGCAGAAAGTAATATTGAAAAAAGAAATGCTAATGCTTATCACTACAGTTGCCAGTTCTCTCTATTTTAGGGACAACTGGCTACACTGGCATCACTTCTAACCAAAGGTAAACTAGTCACTGGCTAGTATTATCTGATTTTATTTTCAGATTGCTTTGTCTTCAGAGGTTCTCCTCACCCCCAACTCTTTTCTGCTCCATGCCATTTAATACTGACAGTGGATGATCAGAGTTGGGCCCTGACAGGGAGAGCTATGAACAAATCTGACCAGGAAACAAATCAACTCAAAGGACTTAAGCAACCTTGATAATCTTGGGAAAATGGGCATGTCCATTGAAAGGTATCAGGTCCTTCTTATAACTCTGAGCAGTCTTGAAAGCAAAGGCTTCAAGTTTAAGGAGCCCAAGTGGCAAGTGGCGAAGTTGAAGGTCCAGCATTAGCTACTTTATGGCTGAAACCTTTCCCACTCCTAAGAGCAAAAGCAGTAATCTCACAGGGGAATTGAGCATCCTTTTGCCTTAACTGGGGGCTTTCAAGCTCAGCAATCCTGAGCAGCCAGTGTAAAGAGGCTTGATTTGGAGCATGGGGTGACTTCTGTGTGACTCCTAAGCAATAGTTACTTTACAATGAGTATGCTTTATCTTGCAGCATGTGTCCCATTTCCTTTACAGTCAGCCCAATTCAACTGGGATCCAGAGACTGTAGGACTCATTCATGGCTCTTTTTTCTGGGGTTACATTGTGACACAAATTCCAGGAGGGTTCATCTCAAACAAATTGGCTGCTAACAGGTAAGAAAACAACAAGCAAATAAATTAAGCTTTAGAACTTGACAGCTGTTTTACACTATGTAAATGGAAATTGTGAAAATAGCAAATCAGTGTTTCAGAAATGCACATCTGAAGCTGAAAATTCAGAAATTTTCAATAATTATTAATAATTAATAATAAATAATAATTAATCAAAAATTATTTCAGAGGACAAGACTTCCATTATGGGTCTATTGGTGATGTTTTCAATTTAACTTGTTCGTCACAAATATTTACACATTTCTTTTCTAAACAATAATACTTTCTGTAGAGTTCAAGGAAAGTCACACCTAGTGCTTCCAACAATGGTTGAAGCCTTTGTCTTTAAGAAGTTGCCTTAGTGCTTTTTATCTCAACACCAAACAATAGTTTTCCAGCAGTGTTTGGTCTTCCTCCTTTAACAGTTCACAGTTCCTGTGGACTGAAGCTGGGAATAAAGGAATTACAGAACTATTTATGATCTGAAGTCACAGATCTATCCTTATGCACACAAATATCCTTGCCAAGGCTAGATACAGTACTGACTGTAATTAAGATTGCATAGAACTTCTAATAGAGCCTCCTGATTTCTGCTTGGTGAAGTCTGAGAATCTGTACAGATTTTATTTTTTATGATGAATGTGTTTGTCAGCCAATTTTTATTTTTTTTTTTAATTTAACTGCTTTTGAAAATGTGAATAAGAAAAACTAGCTACATTTGTCAATGTTAACTTTGATTTTAGACTTTACTTCAAAAGGTCTTCAGAACTTTGAATATTATCACAAGAGAGAGGGAGGTTGTCTGAAGACAGCTGGCTGTGAATGAGCTCATGGATGTGCATATTAAGGGTACTTGGGATCTACAGATTAAAATAAAAAAAGAGATGGCTGGTACTAACTTTGTTCTTTGCAAACAAGATGTGACTTATCTACAAATAGTGCCAGAACTGGAAAGGGTCTTTAAGACCAGTTTTATGTTGTACTTTGCCCCAAATCAAAGTACTTTGCTTTCTGCATTCTGCAAAGAGCTGTAGGGGTTACAAGATTGCCTGGATGTTCTTCCACCCATATGCCCTTGTGAAAATTTCTCCAGAACAGAGTCATCCCATAGAATTGTCCAGACTGTTCAGTCCCACTCTCTTCTGTCCATAACGAAAAGTTACTCAGCATTTGGTTTGCACAGCTTCTCCAGCACTTTTCTCATCCTCAATTATTAATTTCTCTACCACGTAACAGAACCTAGGCAGAATATTTTTCCATCTGCCAAGTAAGCCAAACAAATTAGCTAAGCTTAATCACTTCTCCAGCCTTTCTAGTCTTGCCACCAGCTTTTGCAGCAGGAGGGCTCCAAAACACAGATGTGCACACTGTTGGCTGAATAATTCAGCATATTATTAGTTTAGCTTTTGTTTCCTTAATTTACTTGCAAACAGTAAAATAGCAATGTTTACACCATACACTGTCAGCAGAATGTTTCGTTAAGTACAGGCTGTTCGCAAGCACAGAAAATTCTGCATGTATTCCTGTGAGAGTTTCCAACTCAATCTAATGCTATACTATAACATCACATTATGGATTTGCCTGTCATAACTGAGTTTAGGAGTAGAATTTGCTGAGGAACAAAAATAGCTCAAGAGCTGAGCTCAAAGAGAATTTCTATTTGCAGTAATAAGATTCACTAAGTCCATGTTTTTCCTTTATTTCTTGTTTACCCAACCAATTTCAGCTCAGGTAGGTTCGCCAGTGGTGCCAAGTTTCAGTTTCAGAGGGGTTATTTGCTAAGACACAGGGCAGGAAAACAAGGGTTCTGTGGCCAATGAACCTACCAGCCCTAGAAAGAGGAAAAACTTTATTTTGTCCCAGATGCACTCTGGAAATGAGATTCTAGGCTAATACTGACCTTACAGATTTAGGCAAAGACTCCTTTGCCACTTGTTTAAACTGTGCAACCTTGAACATATGTACGGATGACCCACCCCAGGCACTTCTCTAATGCACATAATTATCTGTAATAGTGAGGGATTGAAATGGATCTCATAATGGCTGAAAATATTGAGTGCTTTATGGGTTTGCACCAAACCCCTCTAACGCTACGTAATTTACTCAATACATTCACCCAAATTGATGTAGATCTGCATTCCATCAAAAAGTTCATCAACCATTTACTGGTGTCATCCCTTTAACTTGGTGCTTATCCTCAAACACGTATCTAAATGTGATTTCAGAATTGCTTGGTGGAGGCATGAAACACGAGGCACCTCTCAATATCAGTTTTCAGTAAGGGCACCCTGGTGGGCAGAGCAGCCTGTAGCTGAAGAAGTCTGTTTTGATGCAAAAGCGGCAGCTGTCCAGGAATCCTGGTAGTGAGGACAGAAGAATATGTGAATGAATTGAAAAAAACTGGAATATTTCTTGTCAAAGTGGAGATGAACTTCTTTGGGATAAATGGCAGTGAATTGAAAAGATGCTGTGTCTGTGGAAACAATACTCAGCCCTTTAAATAGTAGTAGAAGATTGACTAGTTCTAACTCAGTATAAATGATGCACTTACAACCAAGGCATATTAAGACTTGGCATTAAGAAAAGTAGCAGAGATTGGAAACTCAGTCTTTAGAGATAGCTGTTTGGATAATTCAACATATTCTCTTTGTTACAGTTTCTTCTTTCACATGGTTATTAATTCACATGGTTTGCTGTAGTTCCCTGAGTCAATAGTGTTATGACAACAGACCTGATATTTCTATTAGTGGTAAGAAAGCAAAAGGCAGAAGTCTTTTCTTCAGGGATCACAACAGAGAGATAATACTCATTTCTCAGTTAAATGTTTACTTGGCTTTTAAAGCAGTCTCCTAAATGTTGAGATATGACTGTGGGCTTTGCATTCCAATTAATATTTTCAGACTGTTTTCTATATAACTTTGTCACTTAGAGAAGTGACAAAGGAACTGATTTATATAGAAGCCTGCTCAGCTTCTTTGCTTTTGTACTCATCTGTTTAGTGCTTTGTTGTCACTCAGATAATGAGCTCTCTAGGCATGGGTTGTTGCTTTTGTCAATAGGTTGGAGAATTTAGGTAAAACAGTGTTGTTCTCTGACTGTAAATTTTTCATGCTATAACACAACCATTGATCCTACTGTGAATAAGACCATACACAAAAATGAAGTCATATGTATTTCCTGTGAACAAGTTTTCAGAGACTGAAATGCAAACAATTTAAATACTTATGAAAAAAAAAAAAAACAAAGAATAGTAACAATATATTTTAAAATGAATTTTAATGAATTTATAAATGAATTTATAAATATTTATAAATGGAACATGAAAACACTTCTGAGGAATAGATAATAATTGTATTCCCTTTCATGCTGCTTTTCTCCATAGGGTATTTGGTGCAGCTATCTTTCTAACATCTACACTGAACATGATCATCCCTTCTGCAGCCAGAGTGCATTATGGCTGTGTGATGTTTGTAAGGATTCTTCAAGGTTTGGTGGAGGTAGGAGCACACACCATTTTGGCCCTTTCAAACAGAGTTTGATTTTGAGATTTGGTTCAGGAAGAACCAGAAGATCTCTTTCGATCAGGGTTTCTCATCAATGTATCTCATTTTGAGATGATAATTTTTTAATTATACTGATTTATATTTCTAAGTTTACTTAAAGTAAAGAAAAACTATATTTCTGGTGCTGCAATTTGAGTTATTTTAGTTTTCTTGTGCCATCAATAGCATATACTAGACAGTGTTTTTACCTCAGAACGTATTACTATTCAGGAATAGGTAATTCAGATTAGTGTGGCATCTTCATGCTCAAACAATGGAGTGCTTCCAGACTTACCTTACCCTTCCTGTATCATTCCATGGTGACAAACAGCTAGGCAGTAGGGATAGTATCAGCAACTGCTTCAGGTGGAACGCAGTGAAAGCAAATCATGTGATGTGTGAAATGTCTGCCAGGGTGTCACGTACCCAGCCTGCCACGGGATGTGGAGCAAGTGGGCCCCGCCGCTGGAGAGGAGCAGGCTGGCTACCACTTCATTCTGTGGTGAGTTGATGGGCTGATATGCTTTATATCCTTATGAGATTTATTTTATTAATGTCGTTATTGGAAGGAGCTGCATAGATCCTCTGCCCTTAGGTGCATTCAGCATGTGCCCTAAGCTGAGGAACTTGTGAGTCTTTTTTTGTTTAATATGCCATCATTTTATCATTTAACGTCAACACTCAAAATAGCTCTCATAATAAACTAAAGAGGTTTACATGAGAGAAATTATATTGTATTTTTTAATTTGCATCATCCTTAGGGATTCCATTTATTATACATACTCAATGGATGCTCCTAAACAAACACACATTTTAAAATTATCTGAAATTATCTTCATTACTTTAGGCTGGTTGCTCAATATACTGCAGTGGAGGTGATGTGACTTCTTGCCAGCAGCTGTCCTGCTTCATTTTGTTTTGAGTTATGATCAGACATGTACTTTGCTCTTTTCTCTGTGTCCCTTTCCAATGCTGACAGCTAAGATGAATGTCTATAGGAGAAAATGTTCAGTAAAAATGTAAAAGTCACAGGAAAAAAAATTCTGTCCATCAGTGGTAGAGTTGTATGGCTGGGAAAAATACAGCACTAAAAAACAAGAGAAAAAATAAAAGGAAGAGTGAAGCAAGTGGAAAAAGCCCCATGTTCGTATATTATGGGAATTTTGTTTTACTACAGATGGCTTCAGGTTTTAATTATTCAGGTGTTTTCACTTCCTGCAGAAGAAAAGACCCAAAGAAAAGCCTCTCCACTCTCAGTGTTCCCTCCTTGAAATTCCTAGCATGGGATCTCTAGAGAAAGATCCATCCTTCAGCTTGACATCCATTTTAGTGACTACAGGTCACTGATCCTTGCACTTGAAAGGTGCATAGGAACAATGGAAAAATTAGGAAAATCCAGATTAAGCAGGTTCCTGGATTTTCTATCTACGTTCTGGCCTAGGGCTTTTCTGTAGGAAAGCTGTAGGAAAAATGAGTTACATGAAGATGAGGGAGCAGGATCACTGTGAACCATTGCAGAGAAGTATTTCTTAACGAGTAGAGCATTAACAAATGTTTATTAACAAAACATGTACTACTCTCAAAACCACAAGTATCTCTTTCCTAGAATAATTTGGAGCAACATGTAAAGCCATTGGCACTGTCTTGCACTGAAACCTATTATCTAGATTGCACTTAAATACTCATCTCTTTCTATGAGACACTTAGAAATATATTTCACCAGTATTATGTATTTCCCAATGAGAATCCTTGGCACAGACCACATTTTTATCCTCTTTTATCCCCCTGTCAACATCTGCCTATTTATTCCAGCTGTTTGTTTGTGTTGTTGATATGAGTCAAGCATGATTACACAGACTCAGGGTTGGTTTGAACACCCTCTCTGCTACCAGTGCTTGTGTGGTCATGGATCTAGGGCCATGACAAGAGCCTCCCAACATATCTGTAGCCATCAGAATTCCTCCATGAAGCTTCTGAAACTTGGTCCATTATCTTCTCCAAAACTCACCTCACACACCACAGTGTCAGGTGGGATTTCCCACTCAAGAACACACATATAGCTTATGCCTCTGTAGTCATCTGTCATCACTCTTGAATTTGCAAATCCTATTTCCCTACAGGGCACAACTCTGCAAAATGAGACTGGTGACACATGAGGAGTCAGTGTTTCCTGTCACCCCAGTCAAAATTTTGCAGCTTCCATCCCATTCTCCAAGTTCATAAAAAGTCAGTCAAACACTTTCCTCCAGTTCCTCTCATGAGCACTGTCTGGATCATCTGCTGTGAAAGCTGGGCACACCTACCACAGCTGACATGTTTTACTGATCTGTTTTCTCTTCAGGGTCCTACGCAGGTGCGGTGGTGGCCATGCCCCTGGCAGGTGTGCTGGTACAGTACATAGGATGGTCATCAGTCTTTTATATTTATGGTGAGTTGCCTAACATGAAGGACATCTGGCACTAGATCAGTACTGCCAGTCATTTATTAAAACCTGTCTAACAAGGATGGATCAAAGTTGTTTTGATGAATGAAGACGTTGCAAATAGGTGCTCCAATTTCTTCCATACTTATTGCAGATTCTGAGAGCTTTCATTTCGTAGTCACCTGTTACAAAAGGCTGTAAAATTGTAATGACCAGGCTGCAGCCCATGGTCACCCAGTGACAGGATTGGATGGGGTTGCAAAGGTTCCCCCGCAGCACAAACAGTTGTGTGGGACCTGCCCCAGAGTGCACACTAACAGCAAAACTTACAGCAAATGCTGCTGACAGGGAGCCAAATGGACCTGGAAACTTCTGCCCTGAGAAATCTTCCCCATGCTGTCCATCTTTAATAAAGCAGTGCCACCTTTACAAAGTGGTCCCATGGGTATGGCCTTGTGGCTGATCTGTGGTGCCTCATTCTTCCCCTCACAGTGTACGGCAGAGGTGGCTGCAATCAGCGTTGCACATCAGCAGCCCAGTTAAAGTGAGTTTTCTCTGTCCTCCCCAGAAATACAGGACACAGCACAAGATTTGCCATTGCCATCTTACAGTGAAATCCCTTCATGCAGATTACCACCACTTTATGGCGCATCTGCTTTTTTTTTTTTTTTCCCCTAGGTTCTCAGAGAGTTTTCTTCCTGCCTTTTCTTTGCCCTGTGCATAATGTAATAAAAGTGACAAAATGCTCAAATTCTTTGCAAGCAGGCATACAATGTACAGAGTTAGTTGCCATATTTTGTTACTTCCCTGGGCATAATTTCTTTGCAGGTTTTGTTTAGCTGGCACTTGAAACAAACTTCAAGGCTTGCAGATACTGAAGTGTGGCTTTATTGGCTTTGAAAACCAAGTTGCTTTTCCTGCCTCTTCAGGAATGTTTGGGATTGTTTGGTATGTGTTTTGGCTGCTTCATGCCTATGAGAGCCCTGCTGTGCATCCAACAATAACCAGTGAAGAAAGAATATATATAGAAACAAGTATAGGAGAAGGAGCCAGCCTAGCTAATGCAAGTGTAAGTAAAAAAAAAAGGTTTTCCTTGTTGTCATTTGTGAGCACTTTGCAGAAGATCAGCATATGACTGGATGGATACTGTTAGCAGAAATAGGGGCTTTTCCTTTCAAGAAAATTACAGAATCAGCCTCTTGCAGCTGGACTGGATGAGTACAGGAAAACTTGTAATGCTGTTAAAACTCTTGGCTTATGTAGCTTCTCTGATCTAGGGGGGAAAAGGATGGGTTGAGAGGGGGAACCACACATTCTGGTCTCCTGCTCTTGAGTAACTGTCATGATTGTTCTAAAAAATATTCATGGATTTAGCTACATAAGAATCTGACTGCAGATACTAAATTATCCATCTGCCTTTTTAACTTCTGATTAAGCATGATTGTAAATCTAATAGTTTAAGGACTGGGTTTCTGCTGTGCTCACTCTCACAGCAGCTCAGGTCCTTTAAGACTTCTCATCCTCTCTCTGAGAAGATCCTGGAAACTTTGAGTTAAAACCTATTTTCCCATCTAACTTCCCTCTGTTACCTTAGGCAACTTTTTTTTGCCAGTAGTGAAAAACAAAGGTGTTTCTTGATAAACTGTTCATTCTTAGCTTTAAGTTTTGAACATTCTGGAACAAAGTAACTCCAGTTTTTTCCTCTACATGTTTTGGGTAACAGCCTTGCTAGGAGTGTAAAATACCAGACTGTCTTTTTGGGCATGCATCTGAAATTTGGCTGATCAAGTCTTGGCTGGAGACACACACACAGTTGTTCCAGGTCATGGATTTTCCTTGCAGAATTATGGTTTTTCTGCAGAGGAAACTGGGACCAACTTCATGGGTGCACACACAATTGCAGGCATACGGTGACCTGAAGAACACAATCTATGTGCACAAATCTGTGCCATAGCTACAGATTTCAGCTTCTGATTGGAATTCTATTAAAAATCAATAGGTTTCTGAAGTGTTTCCTGCTGTATGGAGTATTGGAGCATAATACTAGTTGAAAATGCCAAAAAAGCAAGTTACAAAAATTAAATTCTGTACCACAGGTCTTTTTTTTCTGAATTAAACTAATTAGGTTGAAGCAGATAGCTGCTTGTTGCTGTGCTACTGCATGTGTCAGCTTGGACAACCCTTTTCCCCCACTCCTTTCAATAGAATGTCTCAAACTGCATCAAGCCAAAAAGTGGGGAATGGCACAAGGTTTTCTCTAGTTTTCTTTGATTCTTTTACTGATCCTGTTATCCCACTAGCAGAATTCCAGAAGACCCCATGTAATTTCAGTAAGTAGGGTAATAGCAGTGCAGTATCCACCTTAAAAATCCTAACTTCTAAGAAAATTTCTTGTTTTTACCACTAGTTCAAGAGATATCTTTCATTTTAAGTGATCTGCGATGTAAGTTGTAGTAGTTCAAGAGATATCTTTCACTTTCATTTTAAGTGATCTGCGATGTAAGTTGTATGCAATGCATCAAATAGGCTTGATAATAAAAGAGATTGGTTCTTTATTTTGCCTCTATCTACCCAATTTTGTGGGGTTTTTTCCCCTAGAAATTTAGTACTCCGTGGAAGAGATTTTTCACTTCAATGCCGGTTTATGCAATCATTGTGGCAAACTTCTGCAGAAGTTGGACCTTCTATTTGCTCCTTATAAGTCAGCCTGCTTACTTTGAAGAAGTCTTTGGATTTGCAATAAGCAAGGTAAATATCTGAGAATAAGCAGTGACCTTATGAAGTATGGGAGGTTTAGGTTGAACATCAGGAAGAATTTCTTCACTAAAAGGGTGGTTAAATATTGGAATGGTCTCCCCAGAGAGGACGTCAACATCATACCTGGAGATGTTCAAGAAATAACTGGGCATGGCACTTAGTGCTATAGTTTGGTTGTTTGAGAAGGGCCAGATAGACCTGGAATCATTACAGTAGATTATTCCCAGTATTTGGGATTACATACTTCTGCTGACCTGATAGAAATTAAAATATGTGAGTATGAAATTATTAGAAAAAGGAAAGAATGGAGAAGTTATTTTGGGAAATAGTTGATTAAAAGCCCCCACATACCATGAAAAACCACTAAGTAAATAGAAATGTACATTTTGTTTAGTGTTGACCATTCAGCATTTAATCAGGTAATTTTTATCCTCCTCTTGATTTTTGTGACTTTCATTAGCAGTGAAGATCAAATTCTTTATAGGTTTATATTCCATGCCACCACCACCACTTCATTAAAATCAGAATTGTTATACTTCCTCTTCAGGGGATGAATAAGGAATACAGAATAATTGTTTTAGAAAAGTTTTAAAAACTCTTTCATTTAGCAACCATACTTGCTGTGTGGTAATTATTTTCAAGCAAGTTGAAGGCTGATAACAAAGAACATCATTATTTATCTGTTCTGGGAGCACTGTGTGCCCAGGCTCTGCAAGAGAAGCAATGGTTGTGGCATGGCAGCAATGACAGTCTAAATGGTCAAATACAGCATGGAGATGAAGAAGAAGCTTCCAGAAGATGACATGCTGATCACTAAAACTCTGTCTCAGGGGTAGTACTGAGTCTGATCCTATTTGACATCTTCATTAATGACCTGGATGATGCAGCAGAGTGTACCCTCAGCAGGTTTGCAATGACACAAAACTAGGAGCAGTGGCTGCTACACTGCAGGGTTGTGCTGTTGTACAGAGGAGCCCTGGCAGGCTGGTGAAGCAGGAGCCTCATGGAGGCCAGTGAGGGAAAGTGTAAAGTCCTGCACGTGGGGAAGAACAAGCCCGTGCACCAGTACATGTGGGGATCTGCCCAGCTGGAAAGCAGCTTAGCTGAAAAGGACCTGGGGGTGTTGCTGGACACCAGGCTGGACACGAGCCAGCAGTGTGTCCTTGCAGTAAAGACTAATGGCATGCTGGGCTGCATCATGAAAACACCACCAGGTAAAAGGAGGTGATCTTTCCCCTCTACGCAGCACTGGTGAGGGCACACCTGAAGTACTATGTCCAGTGCTGGGCTCCACAGAACAAGAGAGACAAGGACACAGTGGAGAGAGTCCAATGAAGTGCCAAGAAGGAGTGGAAATATTTCTCCTATGAGCAAAGGCTGAGAGAACTGGGACTGTTTAGCCTGGAAAAGAGAAGGCTCATCAGGGTTCTCATCCATATGTACAAATATCTGAAAGGAGAGTGTAAAGAAAATGAAAATAGGCTCTTTTCAGTAAGTGCTCTGGGCATGAACTGAAATATGGGAGGTTCCTTCTGAACATGAGGAACTTTTTTGTGAGGATGAATGTGTACTGGAACAGGTTCCTCTGAGTGGTTCTGGAATCTCCATCCTTGGAGATGCTCAGGAGCTGTCTGGACAACATTTCTGGGCAACATTCTCTAGGCAATCCAGCTTGAGCAGAAGGAGCTCCTTTCAATCTCAACAATTCTGGAATTCTGGGAAAATGAAAAGAAGGTGAACATCAGTTTGTAGGTTGTAATCCCACAAGAATAAAAAGAAATCAATGTTTTTACATATACAATTATTTATTTTGTAAAATTGTTTCGTGAAGTCAGGTTTTATGCTTGTATGGTCTTAGTCCCTATGCGATGTGCAGGTGCTTCCTTCCCTTTCACAGAGGCAGGCAGCAGGGATTGATTTGTTGTTCAGGAAGGAGGTCCTTGAGAACATGAATAACAAAAATATAAAAAACACAGTAGAAAACCAAGATAAAAGCACTCCACTATCAGGACACATATGACAGGGCTTTGTGATGTCTACAATAGAATTTAATATGAAGGGATATTGCATGGCTTTTCTAAGGTGAAGTTCTCACTTGTGCTCTGGTTTTTCCTCATGGGCCACAAGGAGATCTTTCTTCCCTCACCCAGTTTTGAGAATCTGCTGTAATCAGATAAACTGATTCAGGGGAAAAGAGGTGAAAAAACATTATGCTTCATGTTCTCTTGCCCCTAAATCCTGAAGGAGAAATGACAGTTAAGCACTCTTGTCTAATTGCAGGTTGGCCTTTTGTCAGCAGTTCCTCACATGGTCATGACAATCATTGTGCCCATTGGAGGGCAACTAGCTGACTTCTTACGGAGCAGGAAGATCTTAACCACTACCACTGTAAGGAAGGTCATGAACTGTGGAGGTATTATTGGATTCTGAAAATATGACATTTCATTTGTGTGCTGCAGTCGATGCAAATATCATAGTTTCATCCATGTTTAATTGTAACAAGAGACAATTTACTCAAGATAGCATTTATAGCTGGTTAATCTGAAGCACTAAGTGGAGAGCTGATGCCTCATGACATAAATCCTTACTCATATAAGCATGCTTTAAAAAAGGGAGGAGACAAGAAGTCTGGTTAATAATTGAATGGGCATAGTATGATCAAATAGGCCTCATCCTGCAAACTCATAAAAAGTTAACCCTGTACCATGGTGATGGAAAGACCCTTTCCCAGTGGACACATTCTTGAAGTAACTGGCCATGTTCCCATTTGCTACTCCCAGCAGAACCCACAGACAAGTTAAGGCTGAAAGGTTTAGGGTGGGGGTAAAAAGTGAAGGATGAACAGGACGATATTAACTCAGCACAAAATAATTTGTTTCCAGTTCAGTCACTGAACTGAAAAATCAGTGACACATAGGGTTGATATTGAATTAGAGAAAAGATTTCAAGCCAGGCAGCCTGTAGAGTAGTTAGTTGCCCACTGCCAATTGCTGGCTTGCATTATTTATAGATGGCACGGGCTCCTAGAAATAGAGATGCCTGCAGCCAGTGATAACACATAACTTGGCTATGCATCTTCAGAAAGAATGGTTAAATTAATTGTATTTTCAGGGCTTATTAATAGTGTCATTAAAACAAAACAAAACAGAAGGTGTAATGTTACATATTAGAAAATATTAATGGTGGAGACTGGAAGTTCCCTGTGATGCTCAGGGATGTCCTGTTGTGTTGGTAGCACAGTTGTATGTAAAACACTCTTTTGTTCCATTTACTAAGAACATCTTGTATCGCTACAACCATGAGAAATTAAAGACAAGTGTTTTTCTTCTTTCACTCAAACGTTTGTTTGTTTGTGAATTTTTCTGTCCTTTGCACATACTCACTTTCTCAATTGTCTTCCTGTATTTCTCAGTGAATACAGTGAAGTAACTTCACCAGCTGCTTGGGTCTTCTGTACAGCAGTGAATGAGGAGAAAAAAAGAATGTATTCTCAAACAATAAATATACAAATATTTCTGCAAATGCACAGAGCTCCCAAGTGCATTCAAGAATAGCTAAAAGATACAAAATAATTTTCTCTCATTTCAAGCTATTATTCTCGATAGTGTTTATTAGTATTTTCATGGCAACTAGATACTTAAATGTAATTCATTCTCATATGTTTCATTGGAAGGCTTTGGCATGGAAGCAACCTTGCTTTTGGTGGTTGGTTATTCTCACACAAAAGGTGTGGCTATTTCCTTTCTGGTGTTAGCAGTGGGCTTCAGTGGCTTTGCAATTTCAGGTAAGAATTAATCTTATTCTTGCTTTTACTGTTCATGATAAAACTGATGTTATTATCCTCACTGTTCTTACTGTCATAATTTCTATTATTTTGCTTGCTCTTAACGTGGCAACTTATGGGGTGTTTGTTATTTCTTCCCATATCAGAACTAATTTACTTTGGTATCTAGGAAACATGTTGCACACAATACCCAAAGCTTTGAAAGAACCTGCTCTTTATCGATCCCAATTTACATCAGCTTTATGTTGTTATTTTCTAATATACTTTTACACTGGCAGTCACCTTTTCATCCTATTTAACTGTATGCTTAAAAGGAAAGAGAGAGAGACAGAAAGGGAGAGAGAGAATTACTCTGCAGGGAATAGCTGCACAAAGGCTATTGCTCAGGTGCAATCCTGTCCCCAACCCTAGCACCTGATTTCTGCTTTCTATGTCAGCCCTCCCCTGTTGCATCCTACATCCAGCCCTTCTGCAGAAGTTGTTTCTAACACTTTCATGAGTCTCATCCACGTTTTGTAGTCTCAAGCTGCTTTATGGCACCATCAGTACCAGCATCACTAAAAAAACCTCCTTTTGCTATGAAGATTAAAGATTTTCTTAAGAAGATTGAAGATCTTCCAAGAAGACTGCCAAGAACATGGATCTATTGAACAAAATTGACCAGCTAAGTAACTGCTGGTCTTCAGTTATTTCAGGATTCTGAAAATTGTGAAGTAATTTTGCTGCTCAGTAACAAGGTCCTTGCATAGCCGGCCATTTCTATCAATCAACTTTTATTGCAGGATTTTCCCAGTAGTCTATTGCTTACCTTATTTATTACCATGCACTTAGAATTAATCATCACTTCTTGTGATCAACCATAGTTAATATGACTAATTTGCATTACCTAAGGAATGATAAATATCTGAGCTGATATTTAGTATTTGTTTTTATTTCTTAATAAAATATGTGCTCAGAAGACACACTACATTAAGGATGATTGTTTTTCCTGCTGGTTTATATTCTTTTTTTTTATTATGTTGTTAAATTGCTGTTAAGCCACTCACATGGTTAAAACACTGAAAGAAATTAATTAAAAACACTACTACATAAATAAAAAGATAGAAGACATTTCACTAATTTGAGGCATTGATTCCTTAATTAAGAATATTTGCCAAGTTCACTGTTCCAGTATGAGAAAATGGAAAGTACAGACACCTTAAACAGGGCCAAACTAAACTTTATTTTCTATACAACATAATCTTCAGAGGTGCAGTAGGGAGGTTCCTAACCTTTTCAGTCTTCTTCAGCCAGATGGCTGTAGAAAGCCCTATTGCCTGGTAGTGCAGTGCTGTACAGCTGTTTCTCTCCTTTTTGTAGGCTTCAATGTGAATCACTTGGACATAGCCCCTCGTTATGCCAGCATTCTGATGGGGATCTCCAACGGCGTGGGGACTCTGTCAGGAATGGTGTGCCCACTCATCGTTGGTGCAATGACAAAACATAAGGTAACATTTCTCCATGTTTTCTAGGAAAAGGGTTAGGCAATGCAACAAATTTAAGGCATTTCAAAGATTCCTGGGGATGCCATTCCATCACTGGTCTCTGCAGCTGCTTTTTGTTTGTCTTAAATGTGCACTTTTTAGTTACCACTTTGGCCTAATTCTCAGCTGTTATAACTAATTATCTGTGTAGGCATATATTATTTAATACCACCTGAGTCTGAGTCTCTGTCGTATCTCCATACAACTGTGCAATGCATACAGGTCTTGGAAGACTCCTCAACAATGCATCCATATCCCTGTGGTAGAGTTTCTAAGCAAACATTGATCTACAATAATATTTGTGTCGTTGTTAGAGAAATCCCTGCATTTCCAACTCCACAAATATTTCACATGCAAGAGAGAAACTTTACTGTGACAAAAAACCAACAAAGAAACCTAAGTTTTATTATATTTGCTGTAGTTATAAATATATATAAAAAAAATCTTTGCAATGTTTCTCATAAGTTGCTCTATCTTCAGCATCAGGAATCAAACAGTGATCACAGTCATTCCTCAATATGTGCTAATTCATGGTATAATTCGGAGAGCGATATTTCTTATTACTAGAAACTTAATGAAACCTGCACCATTCTTTCAGACCCGTGAAGAATGGCAGAACGTCTTTCTGATTGCAGCCCTGGTGCATTACAGCGGTGTGATATTCTACGCTATCTTTGCCTCTGGGGAGAAGCAGGAATGGGCTGACCCGGAAAACCTCAGTGAAGAGAAATGTGGAATAATTGATCAGGATGAACTGGCAGAAGAAACAGAGATGAACAATGAAACTTTTGTAAGTCCAAAGAAAACGTATGGTGCTACCAGTCAAAATAGCGAAGTACAGAGAAGGGAATGGAGGAAGCAAAGGCAAGTAACTCAAGACATGGAGGAACAGACTTCTTACCATTATGAAAATGGAAATTTTCAAGATTTGTCTTAACACTTGAAACTGTAAGATTTGTATAGCAGCTGCTCCCATGACTCCTGCCTAGCTGCCCAAATCATCTGGTATTAGCATTTATTGTCTTATTCAATTACACAATATCTGGCCATGTGGCTAGATTTGAGGGGTGGTAGTTCCCTTCCAATGGTGTGTAAGAAGGCTAACAACAATAGGAGTGGGATAAGTGATCCTAAATCCTCTCCCTGCCATTGTATGACCTTGGGAGAGATTCTGTGCCAGTTAGATGACCAGCCCTGGCAGGGCTGCTGCTTGATGCAAGCTCTAGAACTTACTGTAGGAGCAAGGAGTTCCCTCATCATCTCACCTGAACAGAGAAAGGACAAGTGATACCAGACGGTGGATCCATGGTGATCTGTGTAATCGCTGGGTCTCCAGTGGTGTCACCATCTGCAGTGAGCAGCCCTGCTTTGCCTTTTTAGGATTCCTGTAGAATGGCATTTGAACTGCTTAATCCATGTCAAACCACAGGCTCATGCTGAAAGATCAGAGCAGAGGGAAAAGCAGATTTATGACAGTAGGATTTAATTAATTACTAATAGTCACTCAACAAGGGGAAGAGGAACATGTGGCAGAGGTGGCACAGGATTGCTTCAACAGTTCCTACAAACGGATTGGCAGATATCTTTATATGCACACCCCACAGAGTATGGATAAGACCATAAAATGGATACTTGTAAAATTTCTCCCCCTCCAAAGCTTTTGTGCTGGCATGAAATAATTTTGAATACAAAATCATCGTTAGTGATGCAATATTAATAATCCTTATGAAAGGAAATTTTAGCCCTGTTTTGATTAGGATTCTCACTCAATTCATTATTGTGAAGTAATTTGAATATATTTTGCTAGTGTTATAGAGTTCCTGCTCTCAACACCAATAGTCCTCGTTTAGGTGAATGAGATTACTCACAGGAGTATTTAGTTCTGGATCTGTAACTTTTCAATGCCTCAGTCTTGTTCTTGCTAAGAATGAAGCACTGTACCATTTGAGAGTTAACAGGGTACCTATGTATCAAAGTAATTATCCTCTGCCATTGGTATACATTTGACAGTACAAAGTGGCTTTTGCCTTTTTCTACCATTTTTAGAATTAAACAGTGGAGCATGCTGTATCATCTCAGTTAGCTGCAACTCAGAGACTCATTGTGGCATTAATACTCTTTTCAGAATGGATAATTTATAATTTCAGTAAGATGTGATTTAGTTTTTCTCTCATTATGACTACTGCCTCATTAAATTCAAGTGAAAGCTATCTTGTCTAGCCTACGCTGTGCTTTGTGATGTTTCAGTATTATTGTTCTCATGTACTGCGTGCAGCCACTGTGATGCACCCAACATTTGAACATTTCTCAGATGCATTTTACTATTTTATTGAGGTGCAATTGAATAGCATGGGTGCAATTACGCTTGTACATTCATTTGAATCCATGGATGATTTATCTTCCCTACAAACCGGTATATTGGGAAGTTAGCTAATTCGCTGTTCGTGTCTCTTGTATCTCTTTTACTCAGCAAAATCCAATCTGCAACTGCATACGGGTAAAAAGGAAAGTGAATTGAATGCCTAATTTGACTACAGTGAAGACTTTTGATACGAGCAGATAATTTAATGAAATGGGTAGTTTTATGGTACAGCTCAATCCTGCTTTTAAAAAAATCAATTTATTAATAAGCCAGACCAAAAAACCTTGTCACTTTGTGCTGCTAGGTCAGAAAATAATATTTTTTTAGAATTCAAAAACTCATTTTAGACTAGAGTTTCTTATTTCACTAATGATATTTAGAACAGATATAAGAAAATATTTTATTTCTTTCAGGTGATAGTCAGCTTTTGGGGATTTAATTGGCAGGAATTTGGGTCAAATATTCTCATTAGTCTATCACAATAGCAGGACCAGCTACTGTCAAACTATTTTGCAACATTCACCACAATTTACAAAAGAAAGAGGTCCACCGCTTTGCATATGTGCAAAGCAAACAGCTTCTTCCTCCCTCTCCAGTAATGCAACATTCCTATAGTTGCTACAGGAAGTCTGATAGAGAAAACCATATTATGAAAGGATTCAATATAAGAATCTGTGTAAGCATAATCTGAGGGAGAAAAGAGATGACCAGACAATGTATTACTCTAGAAACAGTAACATTTGCTTAGAAGCAGCATCATTTTTCCAGTAATGATGAAGGGTAACTTTTCTGTCGTTAAGAGGAATACAAAGGGAGTTGAATGCTGTTGTTATGACAAAGAGCTACAAACATCCCAACAGTCTGGGAAATGGCCAGCTGGCCCATGAGAGCTTGGCTGCCTTTCTGGTGAGTAGCTGCTATTTTTTCCTGTTGCAGATGCACCACAGCTGTCACAAGTGACAAGCCACAGCTCAGTTTAGCAGGATCATTTTGTATCCACAAACAGACTGCACGGATTTAGTTCAGTGGAAGTTTGACTTCAGTGGGTATTTGAGCATTATTTAATACATTGAAAGAAATGGCTTAAGAACATCTAGACAAACTTTTGCATTTAAAAACCCCCTTTCTTTTTTGTCTGAATTTAACTGTCTATGAACCCAATATATCAACTCTTACCAGCTGAAGTTGCATACATGCCACAGTGTGTTTTCAGGCACTCACAGTGAGGTGTTTGGGCTTTCTCCCTTTCCTTTTCATTTGTTTAAATATTTCAGGTGCATTGCATGAAGTGTAAACATCAGCACTGGTTGGAAACTAGGCTTTTTTCCTGGAAATCTCTGTACTTAATCAACTCTTTGATTTACACAGTGGCTTCCACAATCCTGTATGACAAAGAATAAAGACAACCTATTAAGAACAAACTGACTTTGTAGCTCCAGTTTTGTGGATGTTTCTATCTGCAACATGCTTCAGTAGAATTTTCTTGTGTAGTCTAAGGAGATATGGTCACTGAGGATGTTTTTCCTACAAAATGACTTAAAATATGTCAGAATTTTGAACATTTAAACAATCAGGGAAACTGGTATATCCGACTCAGACTTCTAAAATGTCATGTATCAGATAGTAGTAGGTGTGAATAATTCAAGTTATATTTTCTATGGAGAAATAGTAGCTTGATTACACTTCATTTATTACACTGAATATTTTTCTGTCCCCACGTTCAAAATAACTTTTGCATATTTTCAAATATGACAGTGCTCATACAAGTCGAAGTTTGATTTGGAAATGGCTTTCTGATTGCAGAAGGAAGCAAGATGTACTTTACACTGGGTGAAGATTTCAAGTAGGCCAGAGGAAATTTCAACTCTCCATAAGTTGAAATGGTAGAATAGTCCACAGGAATGAATTCAAGTCTGAGGAGAAAAAAAGCAGTACAGTAAGCCCCAGGAATATGTTGTTCAGTGTTGTTATCTACTGATCTTTCTTAACAAAGAAAGCTGTAGCTTTTATTTCTTTGACAGCTTATATTTTTTAGGCACTACCATTAGACATGTAATGATAATTAATACTCCTCTTATATTTTTGTAAGAGTTAAACAAAATGCTCCTTTTAGTGAGAAAGGACAAATTAATGACAGAAATTATGAAAAACTCACCTGAGTAGGAATTTCTCCAGGGACATAATCACATAGTCCAAAAGAATGTACAGACTTTGGGGTGAAATACATAACAAGGGCATCCAGATGTTGACAAAGCCCCAGGAGGAGTCTCATGTGTAACATAATTAACTGAAAGCAGGAAGGTAACAATTAACTGAAGGTCATGCAAAATGTGTTAAGGCTTCACATGTATGTTTCCAGCTGACTTCTTTTGACAGTTACAGAGGTCTGTAAGTTCAGTCATTATTGTAAGGAAAATTTTGTAAAACACCAGATTTGTTATTTATTTTTCTCTTTATTTTCCATTGAAGATCTTAATTTTAGACTTCTATTTAATTATTTGTATTTTAAGAGAGAGGAGTATTACTTGTGATTTAAAGAGTAGAAAGGGGACTAGAGAAAAAGAGAAAGCAAATTGCTGCCTCAAGGCCGTGCAGACAGTAGGCTGAGGATAAGAAATCAAACTTCAAATCTTGGAAATAAAACTTGTAGTTCTCTAGATTTTTGAGTTAAAAGCCTACAGGATGTGTGCCATGATCTAATGTTCTTCATCATCCTAGGGTCCAGGGAATTCACTCAGGTCCCATGTCGAAGCTTAAATCTCATGAAATCAGGAATAAATGGGGAGATTAAAAATTCCTCATTCTTATGTCTTCCAAATGCTTATGTTGGATTAGATAAGACTGCTGGAAAGGTAGCACTACTAATACTACTGCATATGTCCATGCAGAAGACAGGCTTCCTAGAAAAATGCTTTCAACTACTTACATACAGTTATTTCTTAACTTCCATTTGATAACAGTGTTTAGCTGTGACAGAAAAAAATTGTTCCTTTTTTATCTCAACTTTTTTGGTTTTGTGTTTATACTATTTATCATTTTTACAGCTCTTCTGCGTGCAAAATTACAGAAGTAAAGAAGGAAATTTATGTAAGAAATGTAGTAAGATTGTACTTCTTCATGCTGAACTATCTATAGCATAAGAGCCAACACATTTTTTCCACAGAATATTTGGGTATTTTAAGTATCAAGACTTAATAAGTATCAAGACACAATAACAAATTGACCCATTTATTTTGTTGTCTCCATCCCATGTTGTTGTGTACGGCCCCTCAATTTAGTTACTGTATTGGATATCTGCAGTAGCTAACAGACTAAATTTGTTTATGTATAACCATATTTATCTGCTCAATAAAGTCAGTGCTCAGACACTCTCTGTACAAATTTTTGACAACTATTTCACTCCTTGTTTTAGACTTAGTTCTGTCTGCATGGCAAATTCAGAACACCTCTGAGCCGGTCATGGCTGTTTTGTTAAATACGTGTCAGGAAAACACTGGAACTCATGAAAAATACCTCTCCATTGGCTCAGAGTTTTGGTTGCCCGGAGGTATCTGACAAATCTTTGAAGCACCAACCGGGAAGCAACAACGTTTATAAAACAGGAAGTATTTGAGAACCCCCAATAAAGATACC